GTGCTCCGCACTGATCCTACGTCCCTCAACGCTACCCACGTCTCCCCCAAATTAGTAATAAATACGCAGCAAATAAACCAGCCGAACTGTCTTATCTCCTTTCCGCAAGCCTGCTCTTTCATCACGAAATCAAAAGAAAAATCAAAAAAATCTGAATATTTTTGTAGTAACTTTTGACAAATGTTTTTTATGCTTAAAATTTTCATCATGAAATGACATTCGTGGAAGTCATGGCAAAAAAAATCAGTACTCCAAAAAGCTTTCAAAAATAACATTTTTAAAGTATCAATTTTGTTTTTTTTTTCACGAGTTCCAGTAATGTTCATTCATGATAATTTTTTGTAAGCACATAGAACATTTGTCTAAGTTTACCACAAAAAAATCCGATTTTTTAATTTTTTTTATTATTTTCCTTCATTTTACTGTTCACCGAGAGCATTCGAGCTCGGGTGCAAATACTCCACGTCCTACTTCTCAGAGTGCAGATTTCTGGAGGCCGAGCTCCAGTGATTTTGGTATTTTGAAAAAATCAGAAAGCGTATTTAAAAGTTTCAAAAAGAAACTGAAAAAATACATGAAAACATATATGTATTCCGCAAGATCACGTTAAATTTCGTCGAAAAATGTAGTGATTTGTCGGTTGTACAAATTTTTTTTGGCCCAATAACAAAAATAAAAGGCCCGTTTTAAAATGTGTATTTGTCTTTTTTCTGTACGCCACATATAAAAGTATAATGTTGTGAAATTTTGCATATACGTAGTATACATGTGCACGTGTGTTCACAAAAAAATTTGGAATTTTTCGCGGTGCAAAAAAAAATAAATTTTGAAAACTGCTCACTGGAGCTCGGCCTTCTTTGGCATTTTTCGAGTTACTCATTCCACACTTTTCAGACAACCTAGGAAACTAGGTGCATGTGGACTGATGATGTCAAAAAAAAGGTGCATGTGGACTGTTTTATGCTAAGAAAGAGCTATTCTGGCTTGCTTGCATATTCATGGAAACACAATCACATAATAGCACATGCCAGTGGATACCAACATTTGGTCAATAAAATAAATAAATAACAGAGTCAGAATAGCACACATACATGCATACATACATATGTATGGAGTCCACGACATCAGTCAATAAGTTACTCCTCCTGGGCCCATTATTATACCATATATCATATATGCACTATTGGTGTTAAAATTAAAAATTCCTGCAGGGGACGAACAACAAGAGACATCTGCCTTTTCAGCAGCAGCACAACAAACGACACCTACCTATTCTTCCTCGGTCAATCTCGAAACGAAGTACATACATTACTATGATCAAAGTCTTCATGGTGGGGATTGATAGAAGCCCTGGAGAAGAAGAGGCCCTCTGTCTGTGCCTCTCCATTCTTTCTTAACCATTAATCAAGGGGATGATGATCCTGGCCGATGCCGCTGGCACCTGTTACATCTGCGACCCATAAGGTGCGAGCGTGCTGCTGCGCAGGCTCACGCCGGCGCCTCTTAGCGAAACAGCAGGGCCCCTGTGGGTGCTCGCCCTGCTTACGAGGCTCGAGTCGAGGTAGAGTATGATGACCGTTATGTCATCATGGAAGTGGCGACGGACACCTCGGTCGATCTTCTTGAGATCGGAATACCTCATCTCTCTTTTCTTGGCTGCTTCTAGCAAGGCTGATTTTATGAGCCTCCTAGCGCTCCCCTGCAAAATCAAACAGAGCATGAGCCATTAAGTCTCCAATTAGCACTGGGCCTAGCAAAAACAAGGTAAACGTAATTCTGACACAAAGCTTCTGCCATAGTAGTGATCAATTTTAACCCACTGCTTCACAGCCAAAAATTATCAAGGGTTCTATTTTCTATACAAGCCATGCCACGTCAACATTCAGCTGACGGCGTGATCACTGGATTTTAAATGCATACATGCCATGGTAATGTGCAGTTTGTAGTTGAAAAGTAGAGAACCATCCATAAATTAGAGAACCATCATGTCTCTATTTTACAACATCAATTCTATATGCAAATTGTTATTCTCAAATATCAATTTTGCATTCAGAGAAGCCTTATTATTGTTTCATAAATGAAAATCAGGGCAAGTAACCCATGCTCCATATGCTGGGTAATGAATCAGCATTTTGTAATAGTGGCATGTTAATTCTGAGTTTGTAAATAACTAGAAATCTAATGTGGAATATCAAACCATAATGTCATGCACAGTTGTACTAGAATACGCCAAACATTATGGAAGTATATTTGTCAGGTCAACTTATTTACATGGGAATGAGAAACTTACACTACGAGGGCTACTTTGAACAATGTCAACAGCCTCCTGGTTGGTTAAGTGCTCCCAAAGTCCATCAGATGCAAATATGAGAAACTCATCATGTGGCTGTATAGGTTGAACGCAAATAGATGGTTCTGAACTTAGTATGGGCCTGTTAAAAGGTTCACGAAGACGGAATTTTGCATACAGAGGTTCCCGATTGAACTCTTGTTTTTTCAGATAGGCATCACCGATCGATCTGCAGACCTGCAACATACAACAAGCAAAGAAAATCTTCATTTGGTCCCACGGTAAAAAGAAACATAATCGGCAAGTACCATCATATATCTGTTACTCATAGTCATACAAGACAAACTCAGCGACACATTTCTGCATGTCCTATCATGAAGTGATGAATCAGTGGGGCTTAAGAACATTTTTTAACAAATGGTTAAACCGATTGAAGAAACTAACCGAACTGAGCCATAATAATATTTCTTGAGTAGTAACTATCCATCCCATGAGAAATAAGTCTACTAAGTAAAAGATGATACAGGCACTAGCAATGCAAAACCCCAAATTGTTATTAAGCTCTCCGCTTCAGCGCTACCTAATAAATATAGCAGTATTGTCATAATCATTGATCACATCAAGAGGCTAATTGTCATCCACAAGCATAAGAATATGTTTGTTGCGTTTCTACCCCCTTACAGCCCTACGGCCTATACCACTTGGTTTTGTCTGTATCTTGGACAAAAACAAGAATGAGGTTATTCACTAAAATACCATTCAGAGTAAGACACAAGATTAAACTTCCAGGTGGTGAAATTGAATGTATATTTTGCCAACTGAATGTGCATAAGCATATCAAATGACCATTATATCGAACTTCCACGAATCTACAAATGTCTCCCCAGTGGCAGAAGACGCACCTGAATTAGGCCTTTTACACGCCAAACACTGTGCTTGAGAACAACAACATGCCTATCTTCAGGGTGCATTGACTGCAATTCTTTTCTCACTGACTCAATGCTGACATTATGTTCTGCTGACAGTTGGACAGCCAACACTTCTCCAGTGGCTTTAACATGTTTTCCTAAAACAGCACGAGAATCCCCAACATTCGCAACATAAAGCATGCCACCACAGATAACACCAACCAGACAGCATGAGCCAACAGCCGCTATTTGAGGCTTGACAGGCCATTGCTTGGTGACGATAGAGAAGAATCCATCTTCTGTAGCTTCATATGCTTTCTTCAGTACATCAGCAGACATTGCATTCTGTTCCGAAGCGAACCCTGCAATACAAACCAGGGAAGAAGTAAATAATCACTGCAGTGCTCTTTATCAGGCAAGTGAAACAAGGCAGTGTGGACAGAGCACCAAAGAATGAGCATAATACTAATGCATAGTGATCCCAGGTTAGAAATTACTTTTAAGATGGTTGAAGAGGTTATCGTTGATGTAGCAAGCTGTCTCTGGTCCACCGTGCCCATCGTAAACCCCGACGAAAGTGCCGTATGGACCAGAGTCGAGAAAGCTCAACGGACCCGACTCAATCTGACACTGGTCCTCAAGTAGGTTATTGGCCTGGACAACAGCCATGGAGAAGTCGCCATTTACATGCTCCCCAGTGTCCTTGTACCATAGAAGTCCATCCTGCCTACCGGTAGCATCTGAGCCTGTCCGGGCATGCCGGTTGGATGAAGGTCTCCAACACGCCCGTAGAAAGTTCATCAATGTCACTATCATCCCTCATCAGTCATCCCACCCACGTACGCCTCCGAGCTCGCCTCATCTGTTATCTAAGAAAATTGCAGTGTCACTTCTCAATGCACCAACAGAACTCTTGCCTTTATCCTGGAAAGAAAAAGAAACATGTATAAGTATGTGAAACACAAGTATGGCTCATTAATAGTACTCAACGCTTATCACTTGCACTCGGACAGGGGCACAATTAAAAAAAAAATCAAAATTTATCTATCCTTCCTTTGGTTTTTTCAATCCATCCAGGAGAGCTGCATGCATTTCTTCAGTAATAAGTACACACTTTGTCTACCATGTAACATTGAATACAAATTCAGCATAGTTGCTCTGTCTACAACTCAAAAGGGTCTGAGGAATCTCCTTTGTCGTAAGTTTATAGTACAAGCAGATGTAGGGAAAACAAATCAAATTGCCTTGCTTGGTGCTTTTAGGTTCTATGGTTCTAGTAGAAGCAACCTGGTACTGGGTAACCTACACCATCACTGTTTTTCATTGCAAAAGAGACAAATGTATAGCATAATATAATGCCTAAATAATGCAGCAAAAGACACAATCGTGTCTCTGTTTGACACAATCGAGGGCGAACATTTCCGATCATACACTCAAAACATCTATGGCAACTCACTTATAGAAACTCAGCAAACCTAAGATTTTACTCGAAACATAGGCCGCAGCAAAACCTTTCCCATCATACATCAAACATCTATGGTAACTCACTTATAGCAACTCATCAAACCTAAGATTTTACATGAAACATAGGCTGCAACAAAACATTTCCAATCATACGCTCGGAACACCTACGGCAACTCACTTATAGCAACTCATTAAACCTAAGATTTTGCTTGAAAACATACGCCGGGGCAAAACATTTTTTAAATACTTTCACAATCAGTTAGGAACCAAGCCTATTCCCCAACAACTCAATTACCCAAAACCTCATCTACTCCCACAAACTGCAAAACTCTCTCACTCCTCATCCTTGGCATCACAGACTGACACTATAGTGACCATCAAATGGGCAGCTACTGCATACAACTGTGAACCATGATTCAGACGCCAATTTCCCCAAAAATCCTCCACTGGGAGCATCTCCTAAGCACCAAATCGAGACGAGACCCGAGCGCGGATAGTATCAGACCTCCCAATCGCCACGAAACTTGGGGACAAACGGGCGCGCTGGTTGATTGGGATCAAGGCAGAAATGCTCTGCTCCCGGCCCCCCACCCACCCACCCTCTCAAACAAAAATCCCAGGCGCACCTCGCCTCCGTCGGCGCGCCCAAATCGGCCGCCTTGGGATGGGAATCCGGCGAATTGCGGGTAGGGCGACTCGATCGACCTCTCTAGACGAAGAAGGAAGGGAGAGGAACACAGTTGTGGTAGAGATAAGGGGAAAGAAAAGAACTTGGAGGGTACACACACCAGTAGGTACGGCGCAAGCGGATCGGGTCGTGGCTTGTGCCCGCGCAGGCACGGCGAAGGGACTTCTCTCCGTCCTCTCCACCGGCGCCGGGGACGGACGAAGGTCGGCGGAGGGTGGTGGCGAGCGGCGGCGGCGGCGGCACGAGAAGGGGATGAGGCGGGGAAAGGGGGTGGGGTGGGGGGAGTGCGGGCGCGCTGCAACGGCCGTTTGATGACGTGTGGGGCTCGGACACGGACGCGATAGATAAGGCGGAAAAGCGCGCGCAGGCCCTCGATGAAGATCGTATTCGCTGATCGGTCCCCGTGACACGTCAACACCAATAACGGAAAATATCTATCCAGCAAAAGGTAAAAAGCACGAGGTCAAAACTCATCGGCGAAATGGACCCAATGATGAAGATTTTGATTGTTATTCCAAGTTCTAGCTTCAAGAAAAAAAGCTGTTTTTCTTGTCTCTTTTCTTTTTCGCTCTCGTGATGTGGCTATCGCAAATCTTTCTTTTCATCGATTTCCGTCGACGAGCCTTAGGATAGGATTCCCCTCCCTCTAACTACAAAAGGTAAAAGAGCACGAGGTCAAAACTCACCGGCAAAATGGGCGCAATGACCAAGATTTTGAATTTTATTCCGAGTTCTAGCTTGAAGAATAAAAGCATTTTTTTTATCTCTTTTCTTTTTCCCCCGCATGATGTGATTAACGCAAAATTTTCCTTCCATCAATATTCGCCTAAGTTAAAAAATCATCTGAGTCCTCACTCACTGGGGCTTAGCTGCAAACCAGCTTGTGCCTAGATTCAAAACTCAATCAACTCATCCAAGTGAGGACACCCTTCTCGCTCGAAGGCTTAGCTACGAGCCAGTTTGCGCCTAAGTTAAAAACTCATCCGTGTGAGGACATCCTTCTCACTCGGGGGTTAGCTAGTTTGCGCCTAATCCCAAAATTCAATTGAAACACATCAGCAAACAAAGCAAGGATTCAGATATCCGAATAACTTTGATCTGTTCGAGTAGTTAAAGCAAAAACATAAGTGCACGAGCTCCGTACTCGATCAAGTTTAACGGTTACATAACCACTCGGCATACCATGGCAAATTCACTTGGACTCAAAGTTTTCGGTCAAGTCTCTGATGTAGGACTAGCCGGATCAACCAATGTGTCCAACTCGATGTCGTCCGCTATCCGAGTGGCAGCCTCTATGAACATCTCAATAAAGTCCTCGAACTTGAGCTTCTTCTTGTTGATGACCTTGAGGGACTTCAGCTTCTCCTCCTCGACATCCTTGCAATGGATGCGGATGAGTGAAAGCGCCACGTCGGCACCACAATGGGCTGCGAAATTCTTCCATGATCATTCTGAAGTTCTTCATCTGGAAGCAGTTTTGCGTCAATCTTCTCCACACCGAACTCCTCGACGTACTGTTCAAGCTCATTCTTCTTCTTGAGAAGCTCAGCGATCTGGTCGCTTGACTTCTTCTTCTCCTCTTCAAAGGCACTCGTTTGGTTATTGAACTTCGTCTCCCACTCGGCGTAGCTGCTCTTGAGCTCTAAAATCTCACCTTTCATCACTTCAGCCGCGATCTTCAGAGTCTTGTTCTCCTCCTTGAGCTACCCCACGCTTTTCAGAGAGTCCTCAGCTGCTTTGATTTTTGTGTTGGCGTTCTTCCAGGCCTCGGCAAGTTTGATGTCCTTATCCTCAAGAGCCTACTTCATAGTTTCAAAAGAAATACAGGTCCTGAGCCTCGTTTGGAGTTGGCATTCTCACTACGAACATCTGCTAAAGCGAGTTCATTCGGATCAAAGGAAAAAACAAGCTTCGAAGAGCGGTCGAATTCTAAACCTAACCTCCTGGGACACGCTTCTCTTTGGGCAAGGCGGTCGCTTTTATGCCTCTCCGTCTCTAGATCCAGGTAAAGCTGCAACACTTCCTTCTCCGAGGCAACGTAGTGAGTTCCAAGCTCACAAGCTCTCTCTTATAAGACAAGAGAAGTCGACGACAAAGACGAAAACCCTTCTAAGGAAAGAACAAACTAGACCGGTACCAGATGTTGAAGTGTGCGTTTCAAGGAAGGAACAAGCTCGGCCAATTCGAGACATTCTAACAATCCTATATCTACGAGGGTTCCAGAAACCCCGGCATCCACTCGGCCAGCCGGTGGAGAGTCGTGCTCCGAGTGCAAGAATCAGCAAAAATTCAATTCAAAATGATGAGGAACGTTGCAGAAAACAAAAATTTTCCTACGGTTTCTCCAAGATCTATCTATGAGTTCATCTAGCAACGAGTGATCGGATTGCATCTACATACCTTTGTAGATCACGCGCGGAAGCGTTCAAAGAACGGGGATGAGGAAGTCGTACTCGACGTGATCCAAATCACCGGAGATCCTAGCGCCGAACGGACGGCACATCTGTGTTCAACACACGTACGGTCAGCGTGACGTCTCCTCCTTCTTGATCCAGCAAGGGGAAGGAGAGGTTGATGAAGATCCAGCAGCACGACGGCGTGGTGGTGGATGCAGTAGTCACCGCAGCAGGGCTTCGCCGTTCTTCTGCGAGAGGGAGAGGTGTAGCAGAGGAGAGGGAGGCGCCAAGAGTCAAGGGTGCGGCTGCCCCTCCCCCCCCTTTATATAGGCTCCCCAAGGGGGGAGCGCCGGCCCTAGGAGATGGGATCTCCTAGGGGGGGGCGGCGGCCAAGGGTGGAGTGGCCCCCAAGGCAAGTGGGTCGCCCCCCCCCACCCTAGGGTTTCCAACCCTAGGCGCAGGGGGTGGGCCAAGGGGGGCGCACCAGCCCACTATGGGCTGGTTCCCCTCCCCACTTCAGCCCATGGGGCCCTCCGAGATGGGTGGTCCCACCCGGTGGACCCCCGGGACCCATCCGGTAGTCCCGGTACAATACCGGTGACCCCCGAAACTCTCCCGATGGCCGAAACTGCACTTCCTATATATAATTCTTCACCTCCGGACCATTCCGAAACTTCTCGTGACGTTCGGGATCTCATCCGGGACTCCGAACAACTTTCGGGTTACGACATATTCATATCTCTACAACCCCAGCGTCACCGAACCTTAAGTGTGTAGACCCTACGGGTTCGGGAGACATGTAGACATGACCGAGATGGCCCTCCGGTCAATAACCAACAGCGGGATCTGGATACCCATGTTGGCTTTCACATGCTCCTCGATGATCTCATCGAATGAACCACGGTGTCAAGGATTCAAGCAACCCCGTATACAATTCCCTTTGTCAATCGGTATGTTACTTGCCCGAGATTCGATCGTCGGTATCCCAATACCTCGTTCAATATCGTTACCGGCAAGTCACTTTACTCGTACCGTAATGCATGATCCCGTGACCGGACACTTGGTCACTTTGAGCTCATTATGATGATGCATTACCGAGTGGGCCCAGGGATACCTCTCCGTCATACGGAGTGACAAATCCCAGTCTTGATCCGTGTCAACCCAACAGACACTTTTGGAGATACTCGTAGTATACCTTTATAGTCACCCAGTTACGTTGTGATGTTTGGTACACCCAAAGCACTCCTACGGTATCCGGGAGTTACACG